TAATCTTGTTCTTCTAAAAGATTATCATGAAAGAAAACTGGCTTCATCAAGAGTTATTTGTGTTTTGAGAACTGAAATGAACTTTGTTTCCTATGAATTCATATTAACATAATGATCAGAAAAAGAAAATATCAGAATTTCTGTCATCATTATCTTTTTATAAAGAAAATGTCTTTATCATCCTTACTATCATCAGCATCATTGTCTCCTAATGCCATTGCAGTTGCACTTGAAATGTGGTACATCACGAAAACTCTAGATGACCACAGCTTAGCAGCTGATCTCTCCTCTGAACTAGCTCTAACAGCTCAGTGGGAGAAAAAACTTGGGGGTCACATTCAGTGCCTCAAAAACTAAACAACATGAACTACATTCATTAGTTCCACCAGTTCTAACCTTCATGACTATGAACAGCCATGCCATGCACCTAGTAGGGGTCTAACCACATTCCCTTCATACTCCATTCTGAGATGTAAGTTCCACTTGAACCAACTCCCAAGGGGATGCTCTCCTGATTACTACAATTTTAATCTGTTTAAGGTTAATAACCATTATTTTCCCCACATATCCACATGAACTGCACCTCTTACTTTGTAAATCTATACTTAGTCCTTGTATGGGGGTTAACATTATTGTAAAAATAAAAAATAAAAAAGGCTATTGAGTAGAAAGGTTATTGGGTATATAGTTATTGTATAGGGTTGTTTCTTAACTTTTAACTCATTATTCATTATGAATTATTTATGGTATTTTGTATTTATTTATTAGTTATATGTTGTTGATTATTATTATTAAATTTATTTAGGTGTGGTTATGTGTGCATCCGTACAGTTTGTTAATATATTTATTATTTGATGATCAATTAACTAAAAAAAGGACAACAGTATCGCCGAGTATGTTGCAAATTGATTTCCCTAGATTTCCATATGTATTTAAATGGGTCCTAATTGAGCTATGGTCTGAGAATTGTAATGTGACTCTTCTTGATAAGCATATAGTGGTATATCCAATATAATTATTCATAAATTTCGTTTGATCTGGGATGAAGTTCCTTAAAGGGCATGTAAATTCATAAATAATATTGGTCCTCTGTAATTTGGATCTTGCAGGTGAGTTGTTGTTGTTGTTATATATATATATATATATATATATATATATATATATATATATATATATATATATATAAATGTGTGTGTGTGTGTTGTGAATTTGTTGAGATCCAACAATTTCCCTCATACAGATGATCATTTCATCCATGGGAAAGTATTTTTTTCCCTGGACTTATCAATGCAAATACATTTACTAAAATTTGCATTGATAAGTCAAGGGAAAAAACTACTTTCTCATGGACAAAATGATCATCTGTATGAGGTAAATTGTTTGGATCTCAATAATTGTAATTCAGTAATTAGTAGTTTTTCCCTGGACTTATCAATGCAAATTTTAGTAAATGTATTTGCATTGATAAGTCCAGGGAAAAAACTACTTTCCCATGGATGAAATGATCATCTGTATGAGGTAAATTGTTTGGATCTCATTAATTGTAATTCACTTATATGCTCTATAATAAAAATTATATTCAGCTCTCTTTTGTGTATAAGTTTTAATATTTTATATTAATAGGAACTACTTGGATTACTTACCCATGCATTTTTTATAATATGAGAGTGGACACTGAGTTCAACTCTGGTCTGGTTCATGCTTGAATGTAATCATCAGGCTATGTGTGTTGGGTTATAGCATGACTATTTATATATGATGGTCAATGAGGCATTATGGGTACTAAGGTCATATATTTCCAGTTTATTGTTATCCTAACAGTTATTGGATAGACTGAAATAATTATTTTAAATTATTCTAATGACTATTGAATAGAAATAATTATGGGCCAGAATGCAGTTAATTTAGAGCTACTCTATAGGGTTGGTTGTTAACTTTTTACTCATTATTTATTATTGATTACACCTGGTATTTTACCATTATTCATTATTTGCTGTTAATTATTATTATCATTAAATTTGCTTAGTTGTGGTTATGTGTGCATTAGTATAGTTTCTTAACTTGTTTATTATTTATTTACTTTATTTGTTTATTAATTTACTTATTTATGTTTTTATTTTTTTTAGGGATTGATTATTTTATTTGATTGTTTAGTTTAAAGTATTATTGAAAGTATTGTATATAGAGCATATATTTACATTCTTCTTGGTAATGTTTTACATATATAAATTACACTGCAGGTGGGTCTTAGAAATACCTTCAGGTGTGGTTACACAATATGCAATGATGGTTTCTGAATGAAGGTGTTCCCAAATATCTATATATGACTCACAAGTAAGCTTGGTGGCCTCAACCTAAAAGAATTGACCTTCTTGACACTCAGCCATAGTTGTCCATCACGAACCCCACTCATGAGCAGAAATACAGAGCCCATCAGTCCCTTGAGGATATACTCACCTAGTTATGGTCAGTCAACTATGTGGTACTAAATGGCATATTACATGTAACCCATCTTAATTCAACCAAGGCAAAATATGTACATATTAACACAGTTGATTGATTTATTGGTTGTTTTGTTTCTTTTATAGTTTATCAGGGTAGTTATAGCCAGAAATTATTTTTTTTAAAATTTTTTAAGGATGAGTTTTTTTGGAAGAAGAAGGATCAAACCAAGGATATTTTACTGAAGATAAAAACCAATGGGAAAATCCTACTAATTAGCCAATTGCTGGGGAAGAAGAGGTAGATTCATGCCTTCCAAGCTGGCTTTTATTGAAATTTAGACAAAATTGTTTCTGAAGCCATCAAGATAGCAGAAACATGTTATTTGGTTTGGATAGTGTTTTTGGTTCAAAAACAGATGATTCAGCTTATATGAAGATAAAAACTAACACGGAGTGAGAAACAAATACCAATGCTAAATTGGAACTCTGCTGCAAGTTCAGCTTTCAATTTTCAATTCCGATTTACATCTCATGCATATCCAAGCATGGAGGCAATAAGAAAAAACTGGAAAAATATTTTAGAGATAAAACCAGAAACATTACCAAAGCAGAAGAATTTGGGATCTACATTTGAAACTAGGCATTGTTTTAAACATACATTCATCCCATACTAAAAAAAAAAAAGCCTCCTAACATTCAAATCAAGCCTTTTTAAGTTTTGAAATTGAGTAGACAAAATTGTTTGGAAGCCATCAATAATTTTGCTAGCAGAAAGCCATTGGACTGAGTGTTTGAGCATAACAGCCTGGTTCAAACAGATGATTACATTTGAACTTATAACATATAGATCTCTCTCAAAAAACTGCAACCAAAGGCCTGCTCAGGAGGGGAGTGATTATCTTTAGTATATTGGTCAACTGTTGCAGTATAACATGACCTTGATGTGGCCAGTTTCCAATATTGGCTCTGTAAGTGAGAAACAAATACAAATGAGCCTGAGCAGTCACCTTCCACAGGGATTAGTGAACCACACTAACAGACAGGCATATGCAGAAACAAGTGACCAGGCATATATACAGCAATAAATTCAGAGCATTATGTTGAAAGCATTAATCAAAGATGCCCCATTCTATCCAACCAGATGGTCTTGATGTCTGCAAATATTTAGGAGTAACTTCTCAGTAGTCAGAGATAAGTTCTGCTTTAGAGGAGGACCAGTATTCCAAGATAACTGATGGAGATGTTGACTTTCTGTTGGAATACTTTGAAGAAATGGCACTAAAAAACTATATGGTTACGGGTAGATCCACAACTTCTCAGTGAGTGTCTTACCATGAAAATAAGACCTTCGACAGTTCACAATAATAAACATCCCCATTCCTGGATGTACGAATATCTCGAACAGAAATGGGTTCAAGACATGATGAAATTAACATTTGACATTATGTTATCCATAGCGTAAAGAAAGGGATTGTCAATCGAAAACAAAAAAGGCTGATCCAGAGACGTTAGTTTGGTCATATAAGTTTACCCTGAGTACATGGCAGAAAAAAACTGGGATAGGCGGGTACAAGAGGAGGAGGAGGAGGAGGACAACAACACCAGAAAAACTCTTATGAAAGAGAAAATACAAAAGATCTGGGCGGTCCATAACATCAGGACAACCTTCAAAAGAAACATTCACGACATAGAGAGAGGAACATGACTAAAAGCTTATCCCAGAAAGAATTTGAGAACCATGCTAGTAAGGCTTCAAGAACACCAGAAAGCTGTAACGCGAGGGGAAGTAGAAAAATGGTACATTGGAGAGAGAAGGAAACTTATAATTTTAGACAGGGAACACATTGAAAATTTTATGAACTGTAGGCACATATACACCCATTTCTCAGTAATAAGGAGTGCATAAGAGAAAAGCAAATGATAACAAAGTTGCAATATGAACCTGGTAAAAAATAATTCCCATACTAAAAAAAAAAAGATGTCCTCAAGGACACCCGTTGGTTAGATCCAGTAACAATTCCTGGTTAAGGCAGTGGAGAATCAGAGGGAAAATTAGCAGGAGATAACTATAACTGACATTCAAACATGGCACGTGGAATTAGAAATTTCAGCGATGAAATGCTCAAATCCAACCACCTGAAAAGGCCGGAGCTATAAACAAATTTGAGGACTAGTATAATTTCTGTACATTTCTGTTTTTACTTTTAAAATAATTTAGATTTTCAATCTAATCTCCTTTAGATTTCAAGGTGTAAATTGGAGATCAGCAAGTTAGAATTTCTTGATTGATTTGTGTCTTACAGCTTATCAATCCTTTGCAGATTATTTAAACTCAGAAAATATTTTTAGATTATTAAGAATTTTTTGGAGACAATAATGACTTACTGATACAAGTTATAAAAATTAACCCATAGTTGTGGGGAAGATAGGTGGATTCATACCTTTCTCAAGTGTATTTGCATGTAAGTGGATATAACAAATCTGACTAGAATTGGAATTCAGCTCTCCGATTTCCAATTCCGAGACCTTATTCATTACACCTCCTGCACATCGAAGCTTACGGCTTCTGGTATTCCCAAGCAGTCAACTATATCAGTACTGACCAGGCTCAACATTGCTTAATGTTAGTGATCTTGTGAGAACTGGTGTTTTAACATGATATGGTCGTAAGCCTGAGTAAATTAAAAGAGTATAAACTAACATTTAGGTTACTTGAAGAAATGAGAGTACAGTCCATATCACTAAACTTCATACAATGTTAAAAGTTTTATTTACTTAAGCTCAGTTAGCTTCAGAATGTTCCCTGCATCTGGTTTAGCCCTTGTCATGAAAATGGAGACAAACAATTGTTCAAACATGTCCATAAACCTTGTGTTATCTGACATTCAAATCAATTCTCCAACACTTTCTCTGTAACATGGAATATGAGAAGGAAGTTGTAGTCACCAAATTAAGTAGATTCTTGTAGCCACTGGATTAACAAACAGGCATTTCCAACTTGGCTTCCTTTGTCCTTTTCCTTCTCTTCATTTTCTTTCTTTTCAGTCTTATTGTTTGATTCTTTTTCACTTTTTTATTTCTTTATTAAATCTTTTCTTTTTCTTTTTCAATTTCTTATTTGTTTTCTTGGTTTTCTTTTTCATTTTCTTTTATCTTCTTTTTCATCATGTTCTTATTCTATTTTCTTTTCTTTTTCCTTTTTGTTCATCTCTTTCTTTTCATTTTATACTACTCATTCACCTTCTTCATTTGCCATACACTCTCTTATTTCTTTTTCAGTTTTCCTTCTTTGATATGTATATTTCTTATTGTAGATTTTGAACATACTTATTCACTTATTATTATTATTATTTTTATTCAGTGCCTACAATCCTCTTTTTCTTCCTTCAGCATTTTCCTCTTCTTCAGTGTCCTGTTGTTGTTCTTTATCTTCTCTCTCAATGTCTACATTCTTCTTTTTCTTCTTTAAGTGTTTCTTCTTTTTCCCTTTCAGTGTATACAATTCAGCTAGTGTAGATATACAAGTTTGACCTTCATTACCAAATTCCAACACCAGAGTCCAAAGAAATCGCAACACTCCACATTGAACATACATTCAATATTGAAATCGTTGTAAGAGGGTTTATGGCAAATTGGAATTCTTCTGTTTGTTCTAAGTTGATTGGTCAAATGGCGGAATGATATACCAATTCCGGCGGACTGAAGTGTATTTAGACAAACAGAAAAGAGCATGGGCAGTCAAGGGAGACACAGACATATTATCATGTTCAACCAGGTTTGAACTAACAAATGCAACCAACCAAGTGACCGACAGAACACTAAAGAGGAAAAAGAAGAAGAATATGAAAGGAAAAAAGAAGATTTGAAAAAAAAAAAATCAAGAAAAAAAGAGATTAGAATTATGAAAACGTGGAATAAGAATGTTTAGAAAGAAAAGAAAAATGTGTAATGTGAATGAGAAAAGATCATGAACAATGAAAGAAAACATAGAAGAAAAAAGAATGGGTTAGTAAAGAACAAGAAAGGAGAAGGAAGAGGAGAAAAATGAGAAGAAAAAGAATGAAAAAGTAAAGAAGGAAGAAGAGAAAGAGAAGATAAAGAAAAAGTAGGACAAATAAAGAAAGACAAAAGAAGAGGAAGACAAAAAGGAAAAAAAGAACAAGAAGAAGATATGCAATAAGAAAGTGGTAAAACAACAATGATATATTCAAGAAACTTTCAGGATTATTTGGATCACTTAAATTTATCTGATGACTAGTACTGACTATGTTATTGGTGCAATGGTCACACATTACTTATATCGACATTCACATGCCAGCAAGAAAGATGTATGATAAAATGCAATCAAGCAAACAGCATTTATGAGGGAGGGAGATCATGAGCATTGCTGTGTTAGAAAGAGACATTATGGAGTGTCGGCATATCATGATAATTTGAGTAATTTTAAACACGAGCAAAGCAGTTTGCTGCTTCCATCCAACTTTTCAGCAGAACTTATTTAGACAGATACAAATCATCATGGGAAGTTTGAAAGCTGATAAATAAACTTCTAAAATCAAAATGAAATAATTGTGAAACTTGTTAATGCTTTGAAAATTCATAATGGGTCTTTTTATATGGTTTTAGGAACCTGTCCTGATGATATAAACCATGAGTAAATAATTGTATTTTTATGTCAACATTGAAGCTTTATGGGACATGAAAGTATTATGAATCAATAAAAACAAATGTATAATAAAATTGAAAACTGCACGACAAAATGATTTACTTTAAAAAATAGTGCAAAAGAATCTGATTTCTATTGTTAATATTCAATAATCAGTATATGATACTATAATTAAGCAATTACTTTTCAATTTGTTAAGTTATAAATTAGAGACAAAGACTCTTGAAATGATAGTGAGACAAGATGTAAGGTATGAATTGAATATATCATAATCAAACAAGTGCTGAAGTGTTTTAAGAGTTGATGGAAAATGTAACACTGAAATCCAAAGGTACATTGGAATAGCAAATGACACCTTCCAATTGGAATTTCTGTGACACATAATGAGGAAAAAGATCTTGGAGAATTTGACACTCACAGAATATATTGAAGATAAGAAAAATAGCTAGTAACTTACCTAAGAGTTTGTGTAAATGGTTGGAAGAACAGGGATTAGGAAAAACAGTAAAAAAACAAACCTTACTAAAATCTACAAAGGCTAGGAAGTTATGCAGAGAAAAAGTTCATTGAATGAATAGCAAGATATGCTTTTACTAAGAGCTGGATACCACATTACCTATGTAATCAGATAATGATACCTCATTTACCATAATCATTTTAGTGGTAATACTCTAACTTGATTGTATCTCAAACTTTGTATTGGGTGAATATTAGTATAAAAAATTTCTGTGTTCTTAATTACAATTAAAAATTCTTAATTATAAAGTCATAGAATTTCAGGGGTTTCTGCTACTGATATTTTGCACATAAAATGATATATAATTCCATCCACGTTGATCCACTGTGAACTCATTAATTGAAAGAATAAGAGTGATATGTTATATAAAAGGTTCAAACTAAACAAGTCATGACACCAACACAGCATTCTTTAAAAATGAAAGAATGGTCCAATGCAAAACATGACACTAAGACATGCATTTGTGTTCAGCATAGGTAAAAATAGAAGAATGTTCAGAGTGTGTTAACAAGCAAAGAAGATAATTGTTATTATTTTGTTAACTTTAATGTTCTTCTTTCTTTGTCTTCCTCCTGAAATCCCGATGGCTCTCTATGCAGACTTGAAAAACCTCATATTTAAAAGAGAGGAAGCAAGATGTAATTTGAAGGAAAATGGTGAAAAAAAAAGGAAATAAAAACTGAAAAACCATGACAGGTGATTTCCAACCATTTCCTAACCCTGCCTATTTATGCAACAAAACCTTTTCTTCTCTGTTTATTTTTTTCCCTGTGTGTTATTCATTGTATTTATTTTTCACGGCTTAGTTTACTATCATTCAGTTTAATTAAATCAAGGAAGAATGTTGAATTAAAGATGGCTGTACATTCTCTGAACACTTTTTTGTTTGTTTACATTTTCTGACATTTATAGTTGAAAGATTTTACAAGTATGCAAACTGTTCACCAGTTTGTTGATAAAAAGATTAAAAAGTTAATCAACATTAATTTAGAATTCTCTAATTAAAAACTGAAAGTATCTGCAAGATTGTAAATGCAAAGAAAAGAAAATTTGAAACAGTTTTGATTAAAATGAAACTACTTTTATACATATATTTATGTTTTAAATTAAAAAAAAAACACTTTCAGATATGTGTATAGTTAAAAAAATAACTGAGAAATGATTCATATTTTACATTTAAGATTAATTTTAAACAAATTTAGAAATAATACAAAAATTATTAAATATATTTCAAGCTATTATACTTAAAATAGTTTAAACACTGAAAAAATCTGATTGTGTTAGTGATGCAAAATACCATAATTCCCCATGTATAATACGCATTTTTTCTAAAAAAAATAATAAGCAAAATTAGGAGTGTATATTATGCACAGCTACAAGAAAAAATCTTTAAAAATACTGTTTCATAGGCTGATTTCAGTTGCGGAATGACTACTCACCACAAATATATGACAATTAGACACTAACATTCTGCGATTAGGACCCCTTAAGGATATCAGATACAATCACATGTACCTAACAATACTTACAAATGCAAAATAAAATAAGAATTATCATAAAACTAAATTAGAATAATATTATTCTATGTTTGAAACCATTTTTTTTAAAAAAGAGTAGGAAACGCTCTCCGTAATGAAATTGGAGAGGTACAATTTATAGGATTTGATTACCAAACAAGCGGTGTATATGTGTAAATAGAAGCATTTTTAAGACTTTCAGCACAATTTTAGGGGTGCATATTATGGATGAAGGCGTATTATACACGAGGAATTATGTTAGATAGAGAATATATAAAAAATTATTTGAACTTCAGAAATGTTTACAAATTTGATAATTGCCATACTTATTTTAGCAAAGTTTTTCAAAAAGATGTTTTTTCTGTTGCAACTGCTATTACTGCATACAACCAAGACTTCCTCAGTAATGTTTATTTACAAAATTATAAAAATATGTGAACCAAGTACAAATGCAGTATTATTTACCATTTTTATAAAGATTTATTATTTATCATTTTATAAAGAAATAAATTTAAAAAGAAGTCTTTTAATTCAGAAATTTATTAAAATTGACAAAATTATCAAAATATGTAAATCAGCTACAATGCAATATTTATTATTCATCATTTTATAAATAAATATGAAAACATGTTTTTTATTCATAATTTTATAAAAAAATTATCTATGAACTATAGAACAAGAAAATTTAAATAAACATGATTTTTCCAGGCATTATACACTTACTTTTCAAATGATTTTATATCTCAGATTACTTTTTATCTTAATTTTCCAATTTCTTTTTATAAATAATAAATATGTCATTATAGTTGGTTCACATATTTTTATAATTTAGCAAATGTTTATAAATTTAAAATTTTATAAATTTAAAATTTTAAAAAGATTGTTGTCCTATTTATTTCTTCATAAATTGGTAAGTTTTAAACACTGTATTGTTTAGTTGGTTTGCATATTTTTATAATGTTGTAAATATAAAATTATTCTTATTTAAAACAAAAAACAGGTGAAGGAAGTTTACAGTAATAATGGTGACAAGGGGGAAAAGTGTCCTTTTGATGCTGTTTTTTGTTTCAGACACAAAGGTTAAACTTTACCCTTATTTAATATCTGTATGGAATTCTCCCACACTAAGCAATTCTTAGTAAATATCTATATTAATCATAAATAAATAATTAGTATCATTTAAAATGTTGTTTCCTTTCCTAATTTGATGAATATACTAAATTAAAAGCATAGTATTTTATTATTCATTACACTGAAGGTTTGTATTAATTAGGCTTGCAATAATTCCCAAGCCCCAATTGGGATAGTTTTAAAATTTTATTATTGGTTGAGTTTCTTGTATAATAAAGTGGTTTTATGGCCCAGTGTATCCTAAGATTCACAGCCTTACAACTGATCTCTCTATTTACCTAACTAATAGCTCAATGGAAAAAGATCTGACTTGTAATTAAAATCAAGTTAGTAATACTTTATCATCAGGTCCCATGCTTTGAATGTCTATTGGGACTAAAGTCCCCATGACATATCAAGTAGAATTGGGCACCTCGAGGCGGTGTAATGGTTAGCAAGCTTGTCTCACTAGAACAATTACAACTGACTAGTGAGTTCGATCTTCACTGGGTGCCCCATACTTTCGGCCTTGTGCCACATCTAAGCTATGCTTGGAAAAATCACCATATCAAATAGAATTTGTATATAGAAAAATGCTGTTAAAATGGTCAGTTCTATGTACCAATGCAGAAAGCACCTGACTACTCCTTTTACAATTCTTTATCTTTAAAAAGAGTCAGATTAAACCAAAAATGTGGTACTGCTGCCATGTCAGAGCTG